TGATCTACAATGCCGTCGGCGGAGGCACTGGCTCCGGGCTCGGTTGCCTGATGCTGGAGCGCTTGTCTGTGGACTACGGGAAGAAGACGAAGTGCTCTTTCACTGTGTGGGCGTGCCCGCAGGTCGCCACAGCAGTGGTGGAGCCCTACAACACTGTTCTCTGCGTGCATTCCCTCCTGGAGCACACAGATGTCACCATCATGTATGACAACGAGGCACTGTACGATATATGCCGCCGCAACCTTGACATCGAGCGCCCTACTTACACCAACCTGAACAGGCTGCTGGCGCAGATCATCTCGTCGCTGACTGCGTCGTTGCGCTTCGACGGTGCTCTGAACGTGGACATCACCGAGTTCCAGACGAACTTGGTGCCCTATCCACGCATCCACTTCATGCTCTCCAGCTATGCACCCGTTATCTCTGCGGAGAAGGCGTACCATGAACAGCTGTCAGTGGCGGAGATCACCATGTCCGTCTTCGAGCCCGCATCCATGTTCGTGAAGTGCGACCCTCGTCATGGCAAGTACATGGCATGCTGTATGATGTACCGCGGAGACGTAGTGCCCAAAGATGTGAACGCTGCTGTAGCTACTATAAAGACCAAGCGCACCATTCAATTCGTTGATTGGTGCCCCACGGGCTTCAAGTGCGGCATCAACTATCAGCCTCCCACAGTAGTCCCTGGTGGCGACCTGGCCAAAGTCATGCGCGCCTGCTGCATGATCAGCAACTCCACCGCCATCGCAGAGGTCTTCTCGCGCATCGACCACAAGTTCGACCTCATGTACTCGAAGCGCGCGTTCGTGCACTGGTATGTGGGCGAGGGTATGGAGGAGGGCGAGTTCTCCGAGGCTCGCGAGGACCTGGCGGCGCTGGAGAAGGACTACGAGGAGGTGGGCATCGAGACCGCAGAGGGCGAGGGCGAGGAAGAGGGCTACGGCGACGAGTTCTGAGCAGGCTGCTACTGAGCAGCTGCACGAGGGAACCGAGGAGTCGCACTCTCGTTGAGAACGGCGTGCTTCCACGACCTTCTCCAAAGACTTGCGTGCTCGCACGCAGCAGATCGGCGTATTTTCCACGCTGACCTGTGGCTGTTCACTTGTACAACACATCTTGGCTCGGGGTGGCCGAATTGTTTGACCGCCTCGTGCCCCTGTCACCTTGCCATCGCGCCTGCAGAGAAGACAACCAAAGAGGACCCCAGACGCCCCCAAGGGGTCCCTGAAAATGCTGTCAGTAGGCCCCTGGAGGCTTCGCACAGATACCCCGAGACATGGGCTCGAGTAAGCTTCCAAGAGGCAGCGTTCGTGCTCCTGCAGGTCTCCAGGGCCACTGGGGGGGAAGGTGGTCACGGGCGGGAGCCCCTCGACCTGCCCAGGAAGGTGCGGATCCACAACGTGGTGGGGGCATCGGTGGGGACAGTGGGGACAGTGGTGGGAACAGTGGGGACAGTGGGACAGTGGTGGGAACGGTGGTGGTGGGGACAGTGGTGAGGGCGGTGGTGAGGACAGTGGTGGGGACCCGGGGACCTGGGAGTCTTTTGCCGGCGGCGGGGGGGGGGTCGAACAGGTAGTGACCCCCCCTCCGGTTTTCTGGAGAAAGAAATGGGGGTTCGAACTGGTAAGGAACCCCCTCGGTTTTCCAGAGAAGGGGGAGGGGGGGGGGGGGGTTAGAGGGAGGGGGGTGCCAGGGGAAAGGGGGGGTGAGGACGGGGGGTTCGAGCAGGCGGGGGGTTCGGAGTGGGGGGTAGGGACCCCCGGGTTCCGGAGGAAGGGGGGGGGGGAATTTTCTGCTAAAGCGGCGGTGGATCATGCTCTCTCATATCTGCAAAGGGCCATTTTTTCCCCCATTGGAGCCCAGTTTTTTGTTGTTGTTTGTTATTGTTTTTCATCATTTCATTTCGTGCTGGAATTTTGCTCCCCCAAACAAGAAGGTACAGTTATCTGGACAGGAGTGCCCGCTGGTCAGCTGCAACGTCGGAGTTTCATGTTGGGTGGACAAGTATTTAACATCAAAGTGGAAGTTGACAGGGGATATTATCAACATGCCAGATGCACGATTGGCCAAAAGTGTGACTCAATGGAGGGATCATGCCTTGTGGGACGAACAAGCAAAGGGGACACTCGGATGCCAAATTCGCTCCCGGCCTGGCTGGTTCAGCAGATGGGAAAATGAGTTGGTGTCACATACAGAACATGCTGGCTGGGACTCGTGGGCGCACGAGGCATCGAGTGATAGTGCCTGGCAGGAGAATGATCGGGATGTTCTGCAGCGCGCATGGAGATGACCGCGCGGCTTCTCGTGCACACGTTTCGTGTTTCATTTGGTTTTGGCGCAATCACACATCCAGTGGCCTTCTTGGAAGGCACGCGCGCGACCATCGCGCCTGCCCCCCTTTGCCGGGACGCCGGTTTCCCTGCGACGTCAGCTTCGCTCGTTCGTTCGTTCGGAGGCCTTTTGGATCCTCCTGGGACCATCTTAGGGCTGTCTTGGCCTGTTTTGGGGCGTCCCTGGCTGGGGGCACCGTCTTAAATGTCTTTGCGGAATACTCTCAGAGCGCCTTGCCGTGCCCAAGAGCGCCCGGGACTTTCGTGGTCTGGGCCCTTACGAACCTTACGAACCTTTCAGGGATGCATGACCTTTAAGAACTGCATGAGCCTTGAGGTACTCCGCTGCGTGCTGAAGGCACGGTGGCGGATGATTTGTTGGTATACGACATGCCCTGAGTTTCACAAGTAGTATTGGACAGCGCTTCTTTTATGCTAGCCAGGCCCACTACCGACCCCCCTTTCACTTCTGTCAAAGAATCCAGTGGTGCACATGCGTTGATCTAACAAGTCGTTTCTCGAAGGGCCCTTCGCAACACACACCATGATGGCCACATGCGCGCGCCGCCGCGCCCGCGTGCCGAATCTTTTCAAACATCCACCAGAACATACAAAACAAGTTCATCGAATACTAGAATACGCCATTCGTTACGGACAAGAACTAACATATTTCTGCGCGCGCTCGTTGACATGTGAAGGGAACCATTTTCCCATTGTGGCGAATTGCATCATGCAGGCGACGCACGAGCACTTATTGAACGCGTTTACATGCCATCGCGTGCCCTCCAACATTGTTAACTCCCACACGGGCCGCGCGCGCGCGCGTCTCAGCGCGCGCACGTCGAGCTCCCTCCAAAACCAATTTCTGTGGTAGGGGCTTGATAGAGAGTGAGTTCTGCAACAGGATCTGAACATTCCGCGGGCTTCAGTTACAAGCTTGCTAAGCATTCATAATTTCTGTCCGCCCGCACGCTGTCACCATCTGCGTCGTCCCATTCGTTATCGTCATCGTCAAGCGCTGGGCCACGTCAGTGGTCATCGCCATCATCATCAAAGCGAAGTCCTCCTCATCATCGCCATCGTCATTGTCGTTGTTGTCGCCTTCGTCATCCTCGCTACCACCGTCACCATCATCAATATCGTCTCTGTCGCTGGCGTCGTCGTCACCATGAGCCGTCGCCCGCCCGCTTCACGGATCTTCATGAGCAGGGTCCGGATGGTACTGCGCTTTTTGAGATATGTGAGCCAGCCCTGATGCGTAGCATCGCCCACGCTCTCTGGAGTTTTATCTGTTGCTGGTGGGTGGGTGGGATGTTCGTTCGATCATTGGAGCTGGCGCCCCCAGTTCGACCGAATGGATTGCATTGCGTCGACGGCACCCCGTATTTTGCCCTGCGGGTTGCGCATGTTCAATGTTTTGTTCTACGCACTGGCACCATCTTTTTGAATCCACTCTCATTATTATTATTATTAGTATTATTATTATTGTTATTATTATTATTGTTATCACTCTTATTTTTGCCAATGCTGTGGCTGTATTCATTTTGGCCCGAGCTAGTGTTCTACGCCTGAAGTCATCCGAACAATCGGAAGTCAGCTTCCTCCGATAAGCAGCCATGCGCGAGTTGGTGCACATCCAGGGTGGCCAGTGCGGCAACCAGATCGGGGCCATACGGGGCCCAATAATATACATCACCACCAGCTCCTTCACCCCATCCCTCTCCCAGGAAAGAGGAGTGCAAGAGGCGGGTAGAGGAGGGAGAAGGAATCGACGTGGTGGTGGTGGTGTATATTCTTGGGACCCGCAGGCAAAGTTCTGGGAAGTCATTTCTGATGAACATGGTATAGATCCTACAGGCACCTATCATGGAGATTCCGACCTCCAGCTCGAGCGCATCAACGTCTACTACAATGAGGCCACAGGGGGCCGTTATGTACCGCGCGCCGTGTTGATGGATTTGGAGCCAGGCACCATGGACAGCGTCCGTGCTGGACCTTTTGGCCAGCTTTTCCGTCCGGACAACTTCGTATCCAGTTGCGCTGCCGCGCATATCCGTCACCGCGCTTGGGGAAGCTATGTAGCAAGGCTGCAGCGTTGCAAGGTAAGCAAGGCATGGCACAACACACATATTGCACCACACAGATCGAGTCACGCAGTTTGCGCCACATATGTTGCACAAAGCTGAAGTGAATGAGACACCGGGGTGACATTCGGTTGCCGAAGACGACAAGGTGATTGTCGAAGGGGAGTGGAGGAGGAGGAAGTCGATGAGGTGGGGAGGAGGAGGAGGCGGAGGAGGAGGAGGAGGAGGAGGCGTAGGAGGATGACAAGATGCATGTGGAAAGGATGGATTATCGAACACGCCTATGGCGAATCACCGCCGCCCCCTGCCCTTTCGGAAGCGCCTATGTGGCCGAACGTTGTGGCCAGAGGCCTGCCAAGCTATCGGACCATGTGTTCCCCAAATCGGTTTGGAAATCGTTCGGGGAACATGGTGGGGAAGGAGGAAGGGGAGGAGAGGGAGGAAGAAGGAGAAGGGAGGAGGAGGCCTCTCAACATCCTTCAAACACTTAGGGAAAATGACTGATTTTGGTCTCTTCTGGTCCTCCTGGATGACCTCTTGGAGGCCTCTTGGGCCGTCTTGGAGGCTTCTTCGGGGCCTCTTGGGCCGTCTTGGGTAATATTGACGCCATGTTAGGCCGTCTTGGAGGTAGCTTGGGCAGTCTTGGAGGAATCTTGGGGGGCGAAGCTATCGGATCATGTGTTCCCCGAATCGGTTTGGAAGGTCTTTGGGGAACACGTGGGGGAGGAAGAGGAAGAGGAGGAGAAGGAGGAAAAAGGAGAAGGGGGAGGATGCTTCTTCGGAGGCTCTTGAGGTACTCTTGGGCTCGATTGGGCCATCTTGGGACTGTCTTGGAGGTCATGTTGGTGCTATCTTGGGCTCTCTTGGAGCCTCTTGAGGGCCTCTTGGGGCCTTTTTGGGACTTCTCGGGGGGGCCTCTTTGGCCGTCTTAGGGCGTTCCTGGCCCATCTAACGCCGTCGGGAGCCGTCTTGGGGGCCTCTCTGAACCGGCTTGGGGCCCTCTTGGGGCGCTTCGGGGCCGTCTTGGAGGCCGTCTTGGGCGTCTTGGAGGGCTCTTGGGCCGTCTTGGGGCCCTCTTGGGGCCGTCTTGGGGGCCTCTTGGGCCGTCTTGGGCCGTCGGAAAGCCGAAAAGGCGCAAATTCCAAAATCCTTCAAAAACCTAACGAAAATCAATGATTTTGGCCTCTTCGGCCCCTCCTGGAGGACCTCTTGGAGGCGTCTTGGGGGGGCTCTTGGGGGCCTCTTGGGCCGTCTTGAACCATTTTGAGGCTACCTTAGGCCGTCTTGGAGGCATTTTGGGCCATCTTGGAGGCATCTTGGGGCCATCTGGGCCGTCTTGGAGGCCATGTTGGTCGTCTTGGAGGCGTCTTGGAGGCCATCTTGGGCCGTCTTGGAGCCGTCTGGAGCAGGACAAATCTTTGGCAACCATCTCTGGGCAATCTGGAAGATCTTTCTGGGTGGCCGGCGGGACGGGCCGAAGCCCCAGGGGGAGTTATTTCGGAAAAAAGAAGCAAAACCAAAACCGAAAGGGTCTAGCACGCCAGGCACCCCTGCGATGAATCGACAGGGGGCGGCGTATCGAAGACGCCTGCGGCGAATCACCGCCGCCCCCTGCCTTTTTGGAAGCGCCTATTTGGCCGAAGGTTGAGGCCTGTTCTGCCAGGCTATCGGACCATGTGTTCCCCGAATCGGTTTGGAAAGCCTTCGGGGAACACGTGAGCATATTGAAGGTCATCTTGGCCGTCTGGAGGCCATTTTGACCCTTTCGGGCCTTCTTGGAGGACGTCTTGGAGGGCTCTTGGGCCGTCTTGGAGGCCGTCTTGAGCGTTTTGGAGGCCTCTTGGGCCGTCTTGGGGGCCTCTTGGGGCCGTCTTGGGCGATCTTTGGGGGCACTTGGGCCGTCTCGGGTCGTCGGAAGGCCGAACAAAAACCAAATGCCACAATCCTTCAAAGACTCTTAGGGAAATAAATGATTTTGGCCTTTTCGGGCCTTCCTGGAGGCCCTCTTGGAGGCCTCTTGGGCCGTCTTGGGCCATCTTAAGGCCGTCTTCGGCCGTCTTGGTGGGCTCCTGGCACGTCTGACGCCGTCAGGAGTCGTCTTGGGGGCCTCCCTTGGCCGACTTGGGGCCCTCTTGGGGCGCTTCGGGGCCGTCTTAGAGGCCATCTTGGGCGTCTTGGATGCCTCTTGGCCCCTTTTGGGGCCCTCTTGGGGCCCTCTTGGGGCCGTCTTGGGGGCCTCTTGGGCCGTCATGGGGCCATCTTGGAGGCCTCTTGGGCGATCTTGGGGCGACCTTGGGGGCCTCTTGGGCCGTCTTGGGCCGTCGGAAAGCCGAAAAGGCGCAAATTCCAAAATCCTTCAAAAACCTAACGAAAATCACTGATTTTGGCCTCTTCGGGCCTTCCTGGAGGACCTCTTGGAGGCCTCCTGGGCCGTCTTGGAGGCCTCTTGGGAACCTCTTGGGCCGTTTTGGGCCATCTTGAGGCCATCTTAGGGCGTCTTGGGTGCACCTTGGACCGTCTTGGGGGCATCTTGGGGCCATCTTATCCGTCTTGGAGGCCATCTTGGCCCTCTTGGAGGCGTCTTGGAGGCCATCTTGGACGATTTTTTGGGACCGTCTGGAACGGAAAAACCCTTTGCAACGGGGTCCGGGCAAATTTTCGGCATCCTTCCGGGTGGCCGGCGGGACGGGCCGAAGCCCCAGGGGGAGTTCTTTTGGAGAAAGAACCAAAACCCGAACCCATATAGTTCGGCACGCCAGGCACCCCTGCGATGAATCGACAGGGGGCGGCGGATCGAAGACGCCTACGGCGAATCACCGCCGCCCCCTGCCTTTTTGGAAACGCCGATGTGGCCGAAAGTTGGACTAGAGCTTGGCCAAGCTATCGGACCATGAGTTCCCCGAGTCGGTTTGGAAAGCTTTCGGGGAACACATGGGAGAGAATGATTATGAACAGGAAGAGGAAGAGGAAGAAATAGAGTAGGAGGATGAGGGTTGTTAGGAGTCTCTTGGGGCACCCTTGGGGTCTGTTGGGGGCTTCTTGGGGGCCTCTTCGAGGCCTCTTGGAGGCATCTTGGGGGCCTCCTT